AGGTGCAGGGTTCACTGCCTTGCAGCAGGCTGTTCTGGGGTGGTAACTGCTGCTTCCCTTCCCTCCCAGAGAACCTGGAGTACAATTCTGAGCCTCGGGAGATCCCTCACCCCGACATCGGCCGCTATTTCTCCGAGTTCACCGGCGTTCACTACCTGGCAAATACCGAGCTGGAAATTCGGTACCCAGAGGATTTGGAGCTCACCCGAGCCACAGTGCAGAAGATTTACAGCTCAGGCAAGGAGTGAGTGCCAAAGGCAGCCTGGGGACAAAAGCAGCTGGAGTGTAGCTTTACCCTCTCTACAGAACTTGCGTGGGAAGCAAGTTTGGTGACAATCCTTTGGCTTAATGCATTGAAAACTGCATTGAACTTGGAAACTGGTGCTACAGCATCTTCCCGTTGTCTGCCTGCCCGTCCTGGCCCAAAGGCACAGGGACACTTTGGTACTTGAGGCCCAGCAGGAGGAGCTTGCAGGGACAGCTGTGCCAGGAGCGTTGTCCTTGGGAAGGATCTGCACATTCTGCTCCTTCTGTGGTGGCCTTAGAAGGTCAACACTGCGAGATCCTGGTGTGGAATATGGAGGAACCCCCTCTTCCAGGGAAGGAAGTTGCTTGTCCTGGCAGTATTTTTGTTTGGCTGTGTCTGTCTGGTTTGGTTTGACTGTCTGTCCCATGCAGGCAATAGTTTTTAAAGTCTCTCACGTTTCGCTGTTGTCTTCTCCAGTCTGAATTCTTGGGTCAGGTATTGCTTCACCTCTGTTCCTAGAGCTACTGTTCCAATCCTGAATATCCTTCTGGGCCTGGCATCGTCCTTCTGGGCCTGGGAAAGAGCTCCAGCCACAAAACCAGCAGCAGTGAGGCTCGTGGGGTGGCGAGCAGTGCTGAGCCGGGGCCAGGTGGCCACCTCACCCATGGCAGAGACTCCAAAAGCAGAGGAGGAGCTCCTGGCCCTGTTCCATGCCTGCTGAACACACCCAGCCCACCTCCTGACCTCGTTTTTCAGTCTGTCCGTCGTGTGTGTCCAAGGTGGGATCCGTGGCACAGCCGTGAGTGTTCCCAGGAGGATTTGGAAGCTCGTGGGGATGTCTGGGGGATCTCGAGGGCAGCACCAGAGTGACTTGGATGGACGCGGAGCTGCCGCTCGCTGCCATCTCCCATTTTTTTTCCAATAGGTATTTATGCAATACAGTGGAATGATGACTGGAACCCGGCCATCTCTGGAGTCAGCCAAACCATTATGGAAGCAAGATGTTAATTCCTTCAGCTTGAGGCCTTCTTCCTTCTTGCCAAAAGAAAACGGATTCTAGGGGAGCGCAGACTTGGCTGCCTACAAGGGAAGAGCTTTAGCAGCTCGAGGCATGTGACTTTTAACCTTGACTTAAAGGCCCAGACAGAACCACTGCAGAAGAGGTTTTCCTCTGGGCTCAGGGGCTGTGGGGTGCAGAGTGACACAGTGTTTGTGCATTTCTTTGTGGTTTCTGAAGCAATGTGTGTAGAGTAGCTGCAGCTCGTGTCTCCTGTCACTGTCCACTTGCAACACAGTAATTCTCCTCTCCGAGCTGACACTTAGGGCCCTGTAGAGGTAGGTGGATGCTCTTTAGTCTCTTATGCACTACAGGTATCTCCACGTGGAATCACAGCCCTCCTCTCCAGCAATGCCTGCCCTGCATGTCACCTCCTGCAACCCTGAGCACTGGTTTGCTGTGGAAATAAATGCTGAGAGCCCAGCGCTTTGGTGGTGGTGGTCTGCAGGGATCTGGGGCTCCAGGAAGAGCAGCCTGAGGAATGCTGAGGGGGCTCTGCTCCGAGTCACAATCCCAGTTTGGGATTTTTGGGCTGGAAAGGACCTTAAAGCTGCTCTTGTTCCATGAGCTGGTACACCTTCACTATCCCAGGTCTGTACTGACATGGAGGGAGGGAGGGAGGAGTTTCCATTGTGGAGCAGGGTAGGGAATCCTCAGGCAAAAGTCAGTCTCTTGTTCTTGAGGGTTGGAGTAGACCCCAGCCCTACAACCCCTTTTGAAAGCAGATCCCAAAAGATTCCTGGCAGGGATGCCAGTTTGGGAATGGGGGTGCTGAGTCCCAGAATAGCTGAGAATGGGCAGAGCAGGGCTTGGGCTCCCCATTCCCATTCCCAGCTGTCAGCAAGATTCCTGGGATTTTGTGCTGCCTTCTCTTGACGCCTGGGCCTCTCTCCAGTGCATCCAGGGAATTACAGAGCTCACAAGGAGCTGCCTGAGGTACAGCTGTGCCAAAAGAGAGCCCCAGGAGCCAAGAGGAAGCAGGCAGAGTTTCCCTGAGAGCTGGCCAGTGCTGACCAGCCCACCCAGAGAGCTGCTGGGTGCTTCAGGAGCCCCAGAGCAGCCAGCAGGGCCCTTCTCCCTCTTCTGAGGCCACTGCTCCTACCATGAGAGCCTGGCCAGGAGGAGGTGTGGGAGCTGCTGCTCACCACAGAACTAAATCCTCATCCCTCTGGAGTTTCTGACCTCAGCTCTGCCTGCTGTGGCTGCTGCCCACATCCACAGCCAGGCTGTGGGTGTTGGGGTCACCCAGAGCACCAACACAGCCTTGCAGGTGCCAAATTTGGAAAAGATTGGGCTGTTTGGAAAAGATTGGGCTGTTTCAAGGTGTTTGCTACGCGACCTCAGCCCAGGAGCCAAGTCAGATTTTGGGATTTGAGAGAAACCCAAAGGGAATGGTGAGTTGCTTCCCATATGGGAAGGGTGTCCCCACTGCCTCCAGTGCTGCTTTGCCTGCATGGAATCCTTGGTCTTGGTGAGGAGAAACTCCCCTGTGAGCACCTGCTGCTGTGGGAGGCCTCAGCCCAGCATCCAGGGAGGCCAGGGAAAGCTGGATGCCCCCAGGATACATCCAGGGAGGCCAGGGAAAGCTGGATACCCCCAGGATACATCCAGGGAGGCCAGGGAAAGCTGGAACCCCCCAGGATGCCTCTGTATCCGTGCTGGAGCAGCCTCTTGGGATGCACCTGGGTTCCCCCAGGCTGCACATCCGCGGTTCAGCACTGTGGGAACAGCTCTGTGGGGTGACATTTGGGGTTTGCCTGTGCCCCCTCCCCTCCTGGCAGTACAGGCACAGTCACCTTTTCCAGGAAGGCAGGGGTGGATCCCAGAAGCTCCCTGGCTGGATCCGTGGTGTCCGTGTTCAGGGTGGTGCCGATGCCGTCCCTGGGGTCCGTGGAGCTCTCCCAGGAGGGGTTGTGTGGATTTCTGGAGAAGGTGGAATTGCCTCCCTTGTCTCCCACCAGGTGCAAAGTGTGGCCAGGTCGCTCCTGTGCAGTGCCAAAGTCCTTGGGAGCAGGGGCTGAATTGCCTGCAGTTAATGCCCTGTTCTCCCTTCCCTTTCCGTGTCACCTGTCCTGGGGACAGAACAGCCCCGGGGCTGCCGTGCTGAAATCCAGAGGGTGAGGGGAAAATCCAGAATGGGGGAAGAGGAGGCTGGGAAGGGGCAGGAAGCGAGTACTCACTGGATCATGAGGAAAAGCCAGGGCTGGTTCTGAGCTTTGCCACTGGATGTTGGCACTCAGGGATGTTCCAGGCAGAGCCATTCCCAGGCTGCCTCTGGCAGGGAGCGAGTCCTGAGGGCAGCAGCATCCCTGGGAGGTTTGTCCACCCCTGGAGGCCGAGGTCTCCATGTGCTGCTGCTCCAGGCCAGGCTGAGGAGCTGCTGGTGCCCTCCAGCAGCAAAGGGGCAGCGAGGGACAGCTCCTGGATCCTCTTGGGAAGCACTTCCAGCCCCTTTGGACCCATCCTGCCACGCAGGGACACACTGAGAGCACCCTGGCCCAGCCGAGGGCAGGGAGTGACAGAGCATGGGAGTTTGTCTCCAGTCTTTGCAGGAGAACCAAGCCCCAGGACCCTCCGGAGCAGCCAGCCCTGCCTGGGGCCAGGGAGAGCTGTGTCCTCTGGGGGAGGAGATGAGAGGAGGGAAGGGCTGCTCTGGGCTGGAGAGGCTCTCTGGGAGCTCCTGGTCCCTTCCACCTCCACCTGCACACGAGCTGGCTCCAGGTACTGTCCTGACCCATCTCCAGGGCAATCCCGGCTCTGTGGGCCCTGCCTCCCTCCCTGCTGGCTCTTCCCCCTCGGGGGACACGGGGACTGGCGGCAGGGACAGAGTGCTGCTCCTGTTTCCCCCCTCCTGCTCCTGCCTGGAAGTGCCTGGGCTGGGCAAAATTCCACATTGGATGGAAAAGTGCCGGCCCAGGAATGGAGGGTGAGGAGCCCCGAGCCCCAGAGCCCTTGACTCTGAGAAGTGAGGTTGCAAGATGGGGACATCTCTCCTTTCTCTGTTTTTATTTATAAACAGGTATTTTCCTGGAGGCTGGAAATGATTTCATTCCTTTCCTGTTTACATTTGGCTCTAAACAAATAAACAACACCGACTTGCTACCTACTGCCACGGTGTGCTGTGCTCTTTGAGCTGCTCCCAAACCTCCCTTCCCTCCTGCAAGGGCTTTGCTCTTCCCTGTGCCCGCGGGAGGGTGGCGTGTCCCTGCCAGAGCCGCTGTGGCCGCGACAGATGGTGACAGCATCTCCGGGCTCTGCCAAAGCCGCCTCCTGGGGAAACCCCCCCTGACGGGGGTCTCGGGTCACCTCTCGCGTCCCCCTTTGTGTCTCCCCACAGCCGGGGCAGCGCCAGGGCTGGGGCAGCCGAGGGGTTCAGGTGGGAGCTGCTGCAGGGAATCCACGGGGAGACCCCGGCCCACATTCCCGCACCGGCATCCACGGGGGCAGCTCCAGAGCCGGGGACAGCTCCGGAGCCGGGGGCAGCTCCGGAGCCGGGGGCAGCTCCAGAGCCGGGGACAGCTCCGGAGCCGGGGCTCCCGGTGCCCGCAGCCGCTGCCGGGGCTGTCCCCGCTGCCGGAGGGTGCCACCCCCGCGGTCCCTGCGCTGGCTCTGGGCGGGGGCTCGCAGGGACCCGGGGCCGCCGCGCCGCCGCCGCCTCCCCGCCGCGCCCGCCCTTAAAAGCGGCGGCGGCTCCGGTGCAGCGCCCGCGGCGCCGCTCCCGGCACGGCCCGGGATGGGCTCCGCGCACTCCGTGCCCGCCGAGATGCGGGAGCTGGCGGACAGGACGGGCTGTGAGTACCGGGGACCCGCGGGCACCTCGGCCGGGCGCTGCCACCCCCACCGCACCCCACCCAGCCCGGAGGGGACGGGGGGACCGGCCCCGCAGGGGACACCGCACCCGCGGGGCTGCGGGAGGTGTCACCCGGGGCCGGGATGGCGCACGGGAAATGTCACCTGCGTGGCCGGGGGGCTGCAGGAGGCGACGCTGGAGCAGGGGAGGGGGATGCAGGACGTGTCGTGTCATCCGCGGGGAGGATGCAGGAAATGTCACTCGGGAAGGGTGCAGAGGTGTCACCTGGGGTGGCGGGGAGCAGCGTGTGACACGCGGGGCGTGGAGCGGGGGCAGGGGATAAGAGGGGAGGGTGTAGGGCTGTCACCAGAGGTGCCAGCATGTCACCCCGGGCCAGCAGCCGAGTCCCCGGTGCCACCAAGCCGGGAGTGGAGCGGTCACACGTGCGAGCCCCGGCCAGGCTCTGCCCACCCGCGCCACCGAGCAGGAATTGTCCCCGCACCCTGCCCCGGAGCCAGGCGGTGCTTCGGGATGGAGGGACCAGCAGGGAAGGGAGCAGGGACACGGCCCAGGGCTCCCCGAGGGGCCGGGCTGTGGGACGGGGCTGGGAAGCGTCACCGCTCCAGGACGTGGCGAGCTCCGGGCACGGGGACCGGGGTGATCCCCCCGGGATCCCCCAGCCCCGGCCGTGCTGAGCCGCTGCCACGGAGGGAGGGCTGAGGGGCAGCTCTGCCACGGCCAAAGGGTCTGTGGGGGCCCAGAGGCTCCGGGGACTGTCCCCAGGGCCGCTGCTGCTCCTGGGGTCACGCCTGTCTCCCTTCATCCCCGCTCCCCAGGGAGGGCTGAGCCCCCCGCACCCCTCCGAGCACCCCGGGGCACACTCGGGAGCTTCGGGAGCCCCGGGGTGCCAGCCCAGGGCGGGAGGAGGATCCCGGGGAATCTCCTGGCCCGGTGACCCTGCAGCACAGGCGGCACCTGTGGTTACCTACACCTGCCCCGGTGCCCCGGGAATCAACCCCGGGGAAGGGTTTGCGAGGGCAGCACCCAAAACTCTCATCGAAACCAGAGGAGGGAGGGCAGGGGGAGCCCACAACTCCAACTCTCGGTGCTATTCACGGAGCTCCCACTGTGCTGTGGCTGCTGCCAAAATCCCTGGGAATTCAGGGGATTTACAGCCCTGCTGCTGCGGTCCCACCCGGTGCAGGGCTCTGCAGCTGCCCTGGGTGCCGTGGGAGGAGCAGGGACAGGGCAGAGACACCTGGAGGTGCCCGGGGCCTGTTCTTTTGCCTTCTCCCCGGTGGAAGGGCGCCCTGAGGGGCTGCTCGGGGCCGTTCCCCTCCCTCCCTCGCTCCGTGTGCTCCATCCCAAAGCTGCAGCAGCCTCTGTCCGGGGTGAAGTGATGGTTCCCTGCAGCCAGGCTGGTCCCACAGCGAGGGCTGAGCCCCCCAGAGCCCCTTTCCCGGGGGTGCCCTTTGCTCAGGCAGCACAAACCACGCAGGGCTGGGAACAGCAAGCCCAGCTCCCTTTGGTTTAAATCCCATTTTTCCCCCGTTAGTGGAGGCTGCTGTGCTTGGACACGGGCCTGCAGCATCAGGATGCTTCTCAGGGATACGAGCAGCCTCTGCTGCCCTTGAGCCAGCCCTTCTTCCAGCAAAGCTTTTGCCTTTTCTGCAGATTCTCCCTTTTTTTTCCCGGAAAGCAGCCAAGAGCTGCCACCTTTACAGGACAGAGAGATGATGGGAGACCCGGCCTGAGAGACCTGGGATCGGGGAAAGAGGGAGGAAAAGCCTCATCCAGCCCTTCAGGGCTGGCCCAACCATGAGCATCCAGCCACTGAGCCCAGCTCTTTGTCCTCTCGGTGCCTGGGACGTTTTTCTGAGAGATCAAAGCTTTTTGCTGTGCACCCAAGTCCCAGATGCTGAAGGCTTGGTGGCCCAGCTGCTCCCATGGTGACGGCGATGTCGTCAAGGCAGAGAGTCGAAGGTCACTTCTCCATGGCCAAAATTGGAAAGCAAAGTCCGGGGAAAGTTTCCGTGGGTGCGTGTGGACAGCAGCAGGGCAGCAGCCAGGCGGGACTGGGGGAGAAAACATCGATGGATGGATCTGTGGGGACTGGATCATCCTCACCCGGGAGCCACTGGGGTCAGGGGGGGATAAAGGGGGATTGAAGGCCATCCTGGGAAGGTGCTGGTGAGATCCAGGCAGGCTCAGGGCCCCAGGCCCCAGCCCAGATGGGATTGCCAGGCTGTTACCAGAGGGCTGTGAAGGCTCAGCCCCGCTGATCAATAGGGTTGCTATTTCCAGGCTGTGAAGCAGCAGTCGGGAAAGAAAAGGACATTATTTAAACATCATAAAAGGCAGCGAGGGAGGCAGCTCAGCCCAGCTCTGACCCTGCTGTCTCGCTGCAATTAACCCTTTGCAACCCCCCAGCGATATTTTAATGTGGTTTTGTGTCTCCCCACGATGCCAGGAGGGGCTGAACTGCAGCTGCTGGGGCAGCCGGGGCTGCAGGAGCCCCTGGGTGCAGCTGGTGCCCAGCCAGACTCCCCCAGCTCACACAGCTCCAAAGCACTTCCCTGGCTCCTGCCGGTATTTGCACAAGAGTCAGGCTCTGGGGGTTAAAGCTTGGTTACAGCCCCTGGAGAGCAGCCAGGGAAGATGAACTCACCTGTGCCCGGGGACCAGGGCAGTGGGGAGCTGCTGCTGAGCCCCAGGCTGGAGCCCCAGCGCCCGAGGGGCTCAAAGGGAGCTGCTGGTCCCCCCTTGCAGCCCTGCCCCAGGATGGGCTTGGTGCATCCCCGGGGCAGAGCCCACCCTAAAGGTTTGTGGTTCCCCCTGAGCAGCAGTTTCAAAGCCAGGCGTTGATTTTGGGGTGCTGCTGTGCCCCCTCCGTATCCTTTCCTCCTCCCTGGCAAGGGGAAGGTCGCTGCTGTCAGGATTTCTGATCCCAGAGTTATTTCCTGCAGCAGCCGTGGCAGAGATGTCCTGGGGCGAGGGGAGAGGAACTCCCTGGGCACAACAATCCCAAAAGAAATGTCACCCCGTTCCGAGGGCCTGGCACCGAGGATCCTGAGCTGCACCCACTGTGCCGTTCCCTGCCGCGCTGGGATTTCCTGCAGGGGATGCACCGGCCTTGGCACCGTCCCTGCAGCCAGCCCGGGGCACAGGGACCAGAACGGGGCTGGCACAAGGGACATGGGGGTGCCCAGGACCCGTCCCCACCGCTGGGGCTGTGGGGCGGGCACAGGGGGTGTCCCCAGGGCTCAGCCCCTGGCACCTCTCTCCTTTCCCCGCAGTCACCTCGGAGCAGATCGAGCACCTGCACCGGCGCTTCAAACAGCTCAGCCAGGACCAGCTCACCATTCGGTACGGCACCTCCTGCCCCTCGGCACCCCCTGCCCCGCTGCAGCTCCTGCCCCACTGCAGCTCCTGCCCCACGGCACCTCCTGCCCCGCTGCAGCTCCTGCCCCACTGCAGCTCCTGCCCCACGGCACCTCCTGCCCCGCTGCAGCTCCTGCCCCACTGCAGCTCCTGCCCCACGGCACCTCCTGCCCCGCTGCAGCTCCTGCCCCACTGCAGCTCCTGCCCCACGGCACCTCCTGCCCCGCTGCAGCTCCTGCCCCACTGCAGCTCCTGCCCCACGGCACCTCCTGCCCCGCTGCAGCTCCTGCCCCACTGCAGCTCCTGCCCCACGGCACCTCCTGCCCCGCTGCAGCTCCTGCCCCACTGCAGCTCCTGCCCCACGGCACCTCCTGCCCCGCTGCAGCTCCTGCCCCACTGCAGCTCCTGCCCCACGGCACCTCCTGCCCCGCTGCAGCTCCTGCCCCACTGCAGCTCCTGCCCCACGGCACCTCCTGCCCCGCTGCAGCTCCTGCCCCACTGCAGCTCCTGCCCCACGGCACCTCCTGCCCCGCTGCAGCTCCTGCCCCACTGCAGCTCCTGCCCCACGGCACCTCCTGCCCCGCTGCAGCTCCTGCCCCACTGCAGCTCCTGCCCCTCTGCCGCTCCTGCCCCACGGCAAATCCTGTCCCACTGCAAATCCTGCCCCACGGCAAATCCTGTCCCACTGCAAATCCTGCCCCACTGCAGCTCCTGCCCCACTGCAGCTCCTGCCCCACGGCACCTCCTGCCCCACTGCAGCTCCTGCCCCACCCAGAGCATCTCCCCTCCCCGGGCTCCCCGGTGCCAGCCCAGGGCTGGGACCCGAGTCCATCCCAGCCATCCCCAGCCTCGCTGGGCCGGCCTGGCCTCGCAGACATTCCAAGGGAAGACACGGCCGGGGCACTCCTGACAAACATCTCATCACCCCCAGCTTTAAATTCACTTTTGGGGAGGGAAGGGGGGGTGGAAGTGGCTCCTGTCCCTCTCCGCGGTGGCTGCGCAGGGAATTGCTCAGCCGGGACAGCCCCGAGCCCCCGCTGCTCCCTCCTCCCGGGTCATTTCTCGGCTCCTTTGCTTTATAAATCGTGGAGGGCAAATGCCCGAAGCTGAGGGGAGGGTGGACAGCAGGATTTCCTTCCTGTGCCCTGTTTGAGGCCTTTTTCCTGGGAAAACGGAAATCCAGGGCAGGTGGAGCCGTGCGAAGGGCCCCGGTGACATCCCAAGAGCTTCCCAAAGACCCATTTTAATCGGAAAAAATCCCTGAGCACAGACTTGCTCCCAGTCTGAACGGAGGCAAAAAGGGGTTTTTACCCAAAACCTCTTTATTTTTCCGTGGTTGCTTTGGAAGGAAGGGGTTGGGTCTGGCAGTGGCTGTCAGAGCCTCTCCCTCCTCCCCGTCCCCCTCACGCTCCGGCTCTCTCTGTCCCTTTGCAGCAAGGAGAACTTTGACAGCATTCCCGACCTGGAGTTCAACCCCATCAGGGGGAAAATCGTCCACGCCTTTTTTGACAAGCGGTGAGAACCCCCCAGCACGCAGGGAGGGATGAATTCTCCTCTGGAAACGGGATGGGGCTGCGCAAGGATCTTCTCCCTAAAGGCTGGGGTGGAACCAGGAGGAAAATGAGATATTGAAGCTGAATCTTAGGGACCGAGCAGTCCCAAAGCTTTGCTGGGGGGTGTGAGGGGCTCGGGAGTGGCTGGCTGGGGGCTCCCCATCACCGTGGGCTCCGGTTCCCCCAGGAACCTGCGGCAGGAGTCGGACGGGCTGGCGGATGAGATCAACTTCGAGGACTTCCTGACCATCATGTCCTACTTCAGACCCATCGAGATGAACATGGACGAGGAGCAGCTCGACCGCTTCCGGAAGGAGAAGCTGAAATGTGAGCCTTTCCCAGAGCCCGGGGTTTGGGGGTGGTGGGGAAGGGGCTGCCCTGACCCCGCCGTCTCCTCCCAGTCCTGTTCCACATGTACGACTCGGACCACGACGGGAAGATCACGCTGCAGGAATACAGAAATGTAACGTGGGCTCCCTCCTGCCCCCAGCCCCCCGAATTGCCAGGCCTGGAGCTGACCCCTGTGCCTTGCAGGTGGTGGAGGAGCTGCTGTCGGGGAACCCCCACCTGGAGAAGGAGTCGGCTCGCTCCATCGCCGACGGGGCCATGATGGAGGCTGCCAGCATCTGTGTGGGACAAATGGTGGGAGCCCGCGCTGGGAGCCGCGTCCCTGCTCCGCTGTGCCACCACAAACGGGGCTGGAAGGTGGCCCTGATCCCCAGGGCACCTCCCTGCCCCACAGCTGCTTTGGCTGGAGATGTTCTTGCAGGCAGCAGCTTCCAGGGTTGGTGGTAGCTGGTGAGGTGGGGGATCCCGTGAGGCCCCATCCTTCCTGCTTATGGAAAAGGCCGTGGGGGTTTGGAACCCAGTTTTGGGCTGGCCACGGGGTCCAGGGCAGGGCCGGCACTGGGAAGCCATGGGACACATGTCCCTCAGCCCCAGGGGACATCCCCGGCCCACCCCTTCCCCATCACCCCGGGGCAGCTGCGATCTTTGATCTCTCACCGTGACAGGGCCCGGACCAGGTGTACGAGGGCATCACCTTCGAGGATTTCCTTAAGGTCAGGGACATCTCTGCTCGTGTCCCCAGGAGGAGGAACCCGGGGGGACACAGGGACGGGGGGGGGGCACAGGGACAGGGGAGGGACACAGGGACAGGGGGGGCACAGGGACAGGAGAACACAGGGGCAGGG